GTTGTAAAGAGTGCATTGAAGACATCAAGTATGAAGTCGACTGTCCGAGACTGGTTGTAGTGCTCAATGGCCATTGTCACCATGTTTAAGAAGATCAGCACAAAAATGGAGATCTCAAATCTGAGGGTTTAGGAACAATTAGATTTGCCAGAAAGTCACTGAACTATGCATATATCTCCCAAAAGAAATGATGATTGCTCAGTAAGTAAATCCGTATATTTTCTCAGGAAATTAATTTTGCTTTATTTATATTATTTACATTATTCAGTACTGCATTACTGACTGTAATTATATACAGATACTTGCAATGTACCTGTGTTGAGTTTCAGTAAATTACATGATTTCTTTATTAACCTGTCATTTATTGTTTTAATTATACCACCAAAGGCTACCAAAAAATAATTGCTTTTTTACTGATATATGCAGGAGATCTGTTCCATGTTACTGTTTAATGTCTTCTTTTACTAAGTACTGCATCTCTATATCTGTAAGAATATAAACTGCAGCTTATGTATCTTTTGGATTTCCCTTTTCTTTTAGTGCAAATTACATTCTAAATTCAGATGAGGTTAACCTTTAGATATACTCAACATGCACTGTAATACATATCAATCAACTTATTATACAGCTTTGCTTATGCTTCACTTTCATTGAAGTTTTGTTCTATAAATAATCAGTATTAAGTCCTAAAAAGATATTTTATCACAAAGGTTAACCCACATCACAATAATCTAACTTATCATTACGGCCCTAGCTTTAACTCACCTTCTAGACACAGCAATATCATAGAAGATGGCATGGTATGGATGCTTTGGCCTTCTGATGACTTTCTGCGGCTTTTTGCGGCCAAGTTTCTTCATTGCCGTGTAGTAATTCTTCTGTGAGTCCGTTAAGAACATCTCCAACACTCCGCCCTCATACTGCGCAGGCAAGGAAGGTTAAGCCAGGTCGTTCCAAGCTACAGACTTTTAGGTTTCAATTCACCAGGATGATGAACTTAATCAAAAAGCCATTAATTCTTTCCAGTTTTGGGTAGTACAATTACTGTGTATCAACAACAGTGGGGGTGCCCTACATTCCATGTAATATATACATAGATATAATAAAACTATAATATATATATATATACATATATATATATATATAATATAAATATATATATATATATATATAATATATCATGAAACTATATATATAATATATATATAATATATATATATATTATATTATATATATATATATATATATATTATAGTAAGAAAATACATAGGTACATGATATAGATACATATAAATAGATACATATAAGAAGATATACATATAAATAGATATACGATATACATATAAATCATAAAATAGATATACATATAAATAGTTATATACAATAATATAGTTTAACATATATATATATATATAATATATATATATATATATATATAATATATATATATATATATATATACATATATGTATATATAGTACTATATATGTATATATATATAGTACTATATAGTATACTACGGCCTTATATATATATATACATTAGAATAATATGCATAAGATCTTGTATAATGACTACTATCTTATGCACTGGGACCTACTACCATGATGATATACTATATATAGAGATATATATATAAAACCCTATATATCATACACGGTATCCACTAAAATATATTATAGAATATAGTGAGTAATAATATATATACATATATAATAGACTACTACACTAAATAAATATAATAAATATTATATATATGGAGTCTACCGGTACCCGTGTATATATACCCCGCACGAAGCTCCTGCGTAGTAATATATATATATATAATAGTATGTAAAGTAGATCTATTATATAGGTTATTGATATTTAATATATCATATATAAGTAAGTTAGTATAGTATAATATAGTTCCACCCGTAAGACTATTATAACTCTATACTTCACGAGGATACTCTAATAACACTATTGAGTCTGCGAACGTCTCAGCACAGGGAGAGAAAACCTACTGACTACGCAAAGGTACTATCATATAATATATATAACCTTATATCATATGTATACCATAGTAAGGATAGTAATAAAGGCCGTTAATATAATATAGTATTACTAGCCTTGACCGCTTAGTACTACTTTGTATATATAGTCCGGGCTATACTATCTATATAATATATATATAATATATAATATATATATATATTATATAGTATAATATACAACACATTTATATTTACATTACATTTAAATAGTAAATATCAAATATAAATATTTATATCATACACAAATATAAATATTTATGTATAAAAAAAAATGAAACCTAGTACCATCCTACACTACGATTGAACTACTATGATATCTCAAACTACCGGCGCTCCATCATATGATATATATATATATAATATATATTACTATACCTTATTACTAAACCATAGTATACACTATATCGTGTATAATATATATACACCCCACATCATGTGATACACAACCGAAACACAGGCACCTA